TTCTTTCTAGCTGTAATTCTTTCAACGCTGTGCCTATTCAATAGATTGTAGATCATCTGCTAGCTCCCCAACCGTCGTATCTTCCTATTTTCTATGGGTTCACTGTCTATGGTAAAAATGCTTTTTATTTTTTTGCTCTCAGTCACTTCTTTCTCGTTCTATTTACAGGCCACCTTCATATTCCGCCCTTGACCTCCCGAAGCTTGCTTGAAGAAGGTGGCTTTTTCATACAGTTGTCATTTACACACTCACACACACACCCACACACACACACACACACACACACACACCCACACACACACACACACACCCACACTTACACACGCACACGTCACCTGTGCGTCGCCAGCGAGGGCAGCTGCGCGCATGCGTGTGGCAGCATCAGTGTTCTCCGGAGCGCCGACAACGGCAGCGGTGGCAGCGGCGGTGTTGGTGCTGTCCTCCATGGCAGTGAAGCACGTGGCAATGTGGCGAAGCGTCAACAGCACTTGCGCAGCCTGAGGAGGAGGGGGGTGGAGTGTTGGCAGCAGATGATGATTGCCCGAGGTGAGTGACGAAGGCGTGGCAGTCGTCTGGTAGAAGCAGACTTGTTGTTTGTGTGACACGCACACACACTCACACACTCACACACTCACACACACACTCACACACACACACACACATGCACACACTCACGCAATACAAGCACATCACACCATGGCCACCTCTTCCGCCACCATGCCATGAGCGCCACCGCACCTGTGCTGGGTGCTCACGGGCAAAGCGGGTCCAGTCTGTATCGGCGGTCGTCTGTGCCACAAGTGCCGACGGCGGGAGACCAAACTCGCGCGGGGACGCCTAACGTGATTGCATTCGCAGTTGGGTGTTTGGTGGAGAATGTGAGGGAGATGGGCAGGAAAATGTGCGGGATGCGGTGGAAATGTGGATACAGAAAAACAACGCAAGAGCAGTGTGGCTACAACTGCAACACAGACAGACACACACACACAGACACAGACACAGACACAGACACAGACACAGACACAGACACACACACACACACACACACACACAAACAAACGACAAGAGGCGCGTACGTGTGCAGGTGCGTTGAGGGCAGCGCAGAGCGCGGGGATGCGGGCGATGGAGGGGTGGGCGGCAACGGCGGAAGACAGGGCAGACCGCGACGACGACAGCGCCTGATGGTGAAGGCGATGGTGATGGAGGGTGAAACAGTGGTGAAGGAGGAGGAGGGGGGATGGGAAAGGGGCGACAGCGCATGACGCATGTCAAACAGCTTCACTTTGGTACAAACCTACTCAAATACAAACGCACACACACACACCACACACCCACACCCACACCCACACACACACACCCACGCACACACACACACACACACACACACACACACACACAAGCGCACCTGCGAGACGGAAGTGATTGGGAGGAAGCTCGTGTCGCCATCGGCCGCGGCAACGAGGGCGGCGGCAAACGTAGCGGCAGACTGGCGGTCGGCGTGCACGCGGGCAGCGTTGATGTCCGCCACGGCCTTCTTGACATCAACGTGAACCGAAGCCGTCTGCAGCGTGTGACATTCGTTTGTATGCGTGTGTGTGTGTGTGTGTGTGTGTGTGTGTGTGTGTGTGTGTGTGTGATGTCACAGGTGAGCACTGCCAAGAGCAAGAACCTCAAATTGCCATCCCTATCACCACGTTCGCATTCATCATCACCAGCACACCCATCGTCACGTTCATCATCATCACCGCCACATCCCTCCCATACGTACAAGGGCGGTGTCAAACTCTGCGAGGAGCGTCGAGAGGCCGCTGCTCTGCGACCACGCCCCGCTCACAGCGCTGGCGGCAGACATGGCATTCTGGTGGCCCGCAGGCGGTTTCGGGTATGGTGCAGAGGGACAGGAGGCAGTATGGTGAATGGTGGTAATCAAGTAGCGGGGTTGGGGGTTGGGCTGAGGTGCATGCTCGCACATACACGCACGCACACACACACACACACACACACACACACACACACACACACACACACGCACCCCCCCCCCACACACACACACACAGACACAGATGCACGCACACGCACACAGGTGCACGCACCATGGCGTTGAAGGCCGGCTGCATGGCGACGGCGGTCATGAGCGAGACAACAGAGGCGTCCCTGCCCTTGCCTGAGGCAACGCTGTTCACAGCGCCGCCAAGCGTCTCCTCTGCGAGCAGCAACCCGTCCGCGAGGTTCGATGCGCCCTTCACGCTACCTTTTGTGGTGTCATTCACGTTGCGGCCACCCTTGATTTGAACTGCGGCCGTCTGCTGCAGGCGGGACGCCGGGGACGACGCAATCGCGGCAGTGGCACTCGTGTTGCGCAGCCGAACCTGTGTATTGGTGGGGTTGTTGTTGTTGTTGTTGTTGTTGTTGTTGTTGTTGTTGTTGTTGTTGTTGTTGTTGTTGTTGTTGTTGTTGTTGTTGTTGTTGTTGTTGTTGTTGTTGTTGTTGTTGTTGTTGTTGTTGTTGTTGTTGTTGTTGTTGTTGTTGGGCGAATTAGAGGGAGGCAGGGGTGGCCAGTAATACTTGGGGGTAAAAGTGACAGCAGCAAGAAGGAAACAATACGAATCGGTGTGCAACTGACATTGATCCATACACGCACGCACGCACACACACACACACACACACAGAGCTATGCAGCGTGTCAATGCACCTGGGCGAGCTTGTTGATGAGGTCCTTTGCCTTGTGATTCTGGTCGACGTACAGCGCCACCGCATCAACGAGATTGGCAATGTCCTGCAGCCGGTGGTGATGGTGATGATGGTGACAGTGGTGCAATAAGGCGAGCAGGTGAGGATGAGGCAACCAAGCGATTGGATATATCAAGCATTGCACACACACAGACACACACAGACACACAGACACACACACACACAGACGCAGACACAAGCACAGACACGCAGACAGACAGACGCAGACACAGGCACAGACACGCAGACAGACAGACAGACACACACACATACACACACATAGCGTCGCCAGCCCCTCACCATGCCAAAGTGCTGGGCGAGGCGGTGGCGGCGGTCTGGGAGAGCGGTGGCGGCACCACCGGCAGCCCGCGCCCCGTACAGCGCATGCAACACCTGCCCGCACGGCGCAGTCGTGTCGGCGTGGTGGCGTGGGGGTGAGACCATGGGGTCACAATACATCCAACACAACACAGAGGCAAAAAAAAAAAAAAAAAAAAGGCAAACAAATAATCTGAGTCACGCCTCACAAAGTGCACACGATCGCATCTCCATTCTCGTTACATCTTCCACATTCTCCCGTCTCCCTCCTTTCCCCGCCCCTTCCACGTCAGCCGCTGCGTACAGTGAGACGGCGGACGGCAGCTGTTGCGTCGCGCATAGCGAGCGACGGGTTGAGTGCCGTGGCCGCGGTCAGGAACCGCACAGCCTCGCTTGTTCGCTGTGTTAAAGTACCCAGGGATGGATGGATGGATGGGTGGGTGGTGAGATGGCGAAGGGTATTAGAGGAATAGCAAAAACCTTCGCATGCCCAGCACACACACACACACACATACACACACCCTTCCCCCTTCCCGGCCTGACCTTGAGTGTGGCGGTCATGTGGTCAATCTCGACTTGCATCAGCGTCTCCTCCGGGTCATCCTTCCCCTTGGCGTACAGCAGTGCATTGCGCAACAGTAGCGCGTCAACATCAACGTCGCCGTCAGCGTAGTGCTCCGTGGCAACGGCGCCCGCAACGCTCGCGGCGCCAACGGTGCCGCTGCCCGTGCTTGCAGGCACGGCCGTGGTGAAGCGCAGCCCGCGCGTGGCCATCATGTACTTGTGGTCGGCGTCCCTGCGAGCGGCGTCGGACGTGTGGCCCTGCTGCATCAGGAACGATGCCATGGCCTCCTCCCGCGCAAGCTGATCCACCGTGTCAACGCCATCGCCACTCACATCATCACCAGCAGGGGCAGCACCTGTGGTGTCGTCGCCGCCGGTCGCGTCCATGCCTGCAAGCTTCCACACGACGCGCATGGGCGTAAAGGGGTCGACATTGCGCAATGCGGTGTAGAGCCTGTCGGCAAGCTGCTTGGCCTTGGTTGCATCAGGGGTGAGGTCGCCGCGTGCGCGCATGCGCTGCAGTGCAACCTCGACAACGGAGAGCCGGTACACGTGGTTGACAAACGCCTGCCGCTGCTCGTGGAGTGGGGTGGATGCAAAGGGGTCGAGCGTGCCACGCCAGCGGGGCGCCAGGGCGTGCAGCTTCCGCAGAAACAGCTGGTGCAGTGCCCGGGACTCGGAGAAGAGTTCAAACTCGGCAGACATGTCACCAGCACCAGCACCAGCACCAGCACCATTGCCATCATCAGTACTGTCATCACCATCACCATCACCATCACCATCCGCGCGTGTCGTGACGCCATCTACAATGGCAGCGAGGGCGGTGGCGCGGTCGCCGTTGACAAACGCGTCCACGTTGAACCGCATCCCCGTCAGCGCCTCAAACGACGTGTCAAACTCTTTGCCGGGCACCGGGGGTGGTGCACCGACAACCTGCGATGGGCGAACAAAGTCGAGCAGCGTGTACCCGGCGTCATACAGCACGTTGTCGTTGGCCGTGTCCATGCGCGCGCCCGTTTTCGCCTCCAGATGGCTGTAGACAGACGGGTGCATGCGGCCACGCCCCATGCCTTGAAGGTGGTCGTGCAGAAGCGGTGTTTCCCAAAGGTCCACAACAGCGCGTGCGCTGGCCTTGAGACCCTGCAGTGCACCCTCAACCAGCAGCTGGCGCTCCGTTAACGAGAGGGCGCCCTGGTCTGATGTGATGGTCGGGTTGGCGAGGAAGTGACGCAGCAGCACAGACGCATGCACGCCATCCTCGGCCTGTGCAGCGACAGCGAAACAAATATGGGAGTGGGGGAGGGGAGGAAGAGGTTGGAGATGGATGACGTGGGTGGGTTTGGGGATGAGGTCAAGGGCGTGACAGATTCTCGCAAGGAAGGGGTACT